ATAAATAGAATAATCGAATGCGCATTTTAATTGCATAATTGTCAGTCCCGACTAGTACTTTTAGCTTATGAATGATTTGCCTCGAATGGGGATCTTTTCAGAATAAAACTATGCCTAAGTTGATTCACTTAAGCTAGGTACACACGATGCAAACAATTTGCAGGAAGTTACAAATAATTTGCAGCAAAAGTTTGCACAAATGTTCACACCAATGCCAATATTGCATGCAAATTACTTGCTTCAATGGCTATTTCGTGCAATATATTGCACTAATGTCTCACGTGTTTTCATTTTTTGTTTTTGTTTGCACTGCTTGCAAGTGACACTCATTTGCTAGTTCAGTTGAATTGAAAAATTCAAGGAATAACGACGTGTTTATATTATGTGGGCACAAAAATCGAAAGTTGCTCCTCTTGCTATATTAGCAATTTTGATGAAACGAAAAAAAATGAGAAGATCAAAGTCTGCCAAAAAAAAAAAAAAGAAAAAAAAATGTCTTTCTAAAAGAGATGAAAAAGGAGTGCATCAGAACCTTTTAAAAGAGCTACAATATGGCGATGAAAAAAACTATTACAATTTTCGCATGTCACTCAGTAATTTCAAGCAACTGACGCAACCAGGTTAACGGTAAGATTCTGTATTCAGACGACAGGGAAAAAAAATTGCCGCAAACAGTTATTGCAAATTTTTTGTTTGCAGCAAAATGTTTGCACTCGTGTTCAAACGTGCAAATTTGATTGCAGCAATCAACTTGCTGCAAATTGTTTGTATCGTGTGTACCTAGCTTGAGCCCTGTCTGACCTGCCTTGCTTTAGCCTATGTATTATGATAATATATAGCCAAAGTTGCCTGAACAAGCACATATTTAATGATATTGATCATTTGCAGGTGCGCGGAAGCAGAGTGCAATGCCGCCTTCACCACAAAGCAGTGCCTGCAGTTCCATTACAAGAAGGTGCACAACTATACGCAAGAGCAGATGCCGAAGATAGAGCGGAGTGTGGCCTATACTTTCGATGCCTATTCGGGCGGCATGAAGGTCGACTTTTTGGGTAAGCCAGTGGGGCAGGCGTTGTTGGGTGCACCACAAGCGCCACGCCCTAACGCTGCCGTCTCCTTCACAGAGCAAGCACCGCGCCGACGACGCAAGAGCCTAGAAGATCAGAACCAAAACTCAATGCTCAGCAGCTCCATGCAGAGTGACACGGAATATAGTGATGACAACATATTTGAGGCCATCAAGAAGAGCGGCAAATCGATAAAGGACTTGTGCCGCAACGAACCAAATCTGTCGCTGCTTAGCTCCAAAATCTCTAGCATATTTGCTGAGAAGGTGCCATCGGTGCAGCAGGCGGCCCTGGTGGGAGGCGCCACGACTGGCACCAGCCGTAAGCGTAAGAGAAAGAAGGATCCGACCTCGGCGCTTGTCGTCCAGCAGCAGCACCAACAGCAACAGCAGCAGCAGCAGCATCAGCAGCAACAGCAACAGCAACAACAACAACAACAACAACAGCAGCAACAGCTGCAGCACCAGCAACACGCACAGCAATGCCACCAACAGCAGCAGCAACAGTTGCATGGCGGCCATTTGGATCAGTCGCCCTCGCATTTGTCACACCAGCAGGAACACCAGCAGCAGCACCAACAGCAACAACCCCACTATCATGCCCATAGCCACGCACACGCTCATGCGCACACGCACGCCCATCAGCAGCAACAACAGCAGCAGGCGGCCGCGCATCACCAGCAGCAGCAACAGCAGCTGCACGATGCCGACGTTGAGGAGGATAACGTGCGTCTGGAGCAGGTACGCCGCAAGCAAAACGCTCAGCTTAGCCTGGTCGAATCGTTCCTGACCACCACCGCGCAGCGTCTGAGTGCCCAGCAGCAAGTGCAGCAAGTTGTTGCTGCGGCAGCCGCCGTTTCCGCCATGGCCGGCGCCGGCGAGGATCCCGCCAAGCTTGGCCACATGATGGGCCACATGAGCGGCGTGGGCGTAGGAGTGGGTGTGGGCCTGGATGAGGACGATGACGATGATGAGGATGACGAGGATGCCACAGCGCATCACTTGCATCACCAACAACAGCAACAGCAGCAGCACCAGCAGCAACACCACTCGCATCACCACGGTCACACGCATCCTCACCAGCACGCACAGCAATCGTCGCAGCAGCCGCACAACGACACGGGCTATCGCCACGCCGCCGCCATGAATGCGGCTCTTGGCCAGAATCTGGTCGTCAGCAAGGGCAGCAAGAAGTGGATCGGCGCTGACGATCACCATCTGAGCGACAGCGGCGATGTCGCCAACGATGCCACTGTCAGCAGTGTGGCTGGTGGTGGTGGTGTTTCTGGCTGTGGGCAGCTATCGGGCGGCGCCGGAGCTGGCCAGGATCTTGGGTTTGCTGTGCCACCCAGCGCCGTGGACGAGCATAGCAAACTGCTGGGGCAGAACCGTGACTTCTTGGCGCGGCTCATGAGCAGCGCTTCGGTCAGCCATGTCAGTCACCAGCATCAGCATCAGCATAGTGCTCACAGCCGCGAGGAAGACGATAACAGCTCCTTTCTGGATGTCGTCGAATCCAATAATAATGCGGCTGCTGCTGCGGCAGCTGCTGCCGCAGCCATGTCCCAGTACCATCACAGTGCGGCAGCCAATGGCGGAGTAGCGGGCGCTGGTGGTGGTACAAGCAGTGGCGGTGGCGGTGGCAGCGGCGGTGGTGGCGGTGGCGGTAATGGTGGTATTGGTAGTGCTGCTGCTGGCAATCATACACCGACTGGCGCGCCCACTGCACCCAGCAGCGTGGAGCCGCCGCAAATGCAAATGAACTCGCTCAGCCATTCGCAGTCATTCATGAGCTCCTTCTACAACAATGCCAACGCAAGACTGAGCGGCGCTGGCGCTGGCGCTGGCGTCGGCGTCGGCGTTGGCGTCAGTACCAACTCCTCCTCTGCCAGCATGCTAGTGGAGGCAGCCCTCAACTCCGTTGGTAACATGATTGACAGCGAGAGCAGTGATCTTAAGGTGCGTTTGGCCGCAAATGAAGCCACTCAATGTTTTACCTTCTGTAGAGACGCAGCTTACGTACAGCATAAATGAGTGACAATTTAGATGACTAGAAACTAGCCTAGACTTTCCTTGTAGTATATCTGCAGCAGACAATGTATGAGAATAAGTAAATATTGCATTGACTGACTGATTTTATAATCTATAGTCAATCTATAGAAAGAGCCAACAGTAACAGTAGATTTGCACACATACATATGTATGTATATATCAAGAAAGGGGAATTGACATGCCCCCAATGAGATATGTTTTCAGTACTACCAGAATTAGGATTTTCAGACTAAGAGGCGAGATTTCGATTGTCAACTAGTGGTACATGGTCACTCTGCTATATATCATTATAATTGTTATAGTTATCCAAGATGCTTTCCAAATTATGCATGGTCCAATCGATAATATGGTTTTTGTACTTGACCAGGTACCCACCGAGAACCACATAAATAGCGATAGTCCAAAGAGCGCGTATGTGGATGCGGAGGCACAACGCTTTGGTAGCGGCGGCGGTGGTGGTGGTGGAAGTGGAGCGAATGGTGCTGGCATTGGCGCCACCATGGACAACTTAGAGAACGAATTGAAGATGATGAAGAACCTGGGCAGCTTTCCCATGCAGATACCGCCATTGCCTATGTTCCAGGGAGCATGCAATATTTCGCCGAACGCCTCAACGCCCACCAATCCGCAGAGCAATCAAAACCAGAACGATGTAGATGTGGATGCCGGCAGCACGCCGCGTCCCCACCATCCGGATTCTGATGGTTTCTCTTCGTCGCACCACCGGACACCGCCCTCGCCGCCACCCATATCGCCGGGTCGCGACTATGGAGGCATGTTTGGTGCCGGCAATGGCGCCGGCGGACCCGGCTCTAACAGCACGCCTGCGGGCAGCTCCAGCGGAGGTGGTGGTGCTCCAACGACAGGCAACAATTTATCCGCATCACCTCTGCCGGCAGCGCTGCAACCGCAGCGACGCAACGCCTCCAGCGTGGGCAGCACATATCCGGAGCACGAGCTCATCTCGCCAGCCTCCTCGCCAAGCATTCCGCGCTACAACTTCAACGGCGACATGATGCGTCACAAACGCGCCGTTCAGGAGCACGAGCAGCAAGAGAGACGCCACAATATCTCGCGACACAACCAAATGTCCAGCGACGAAGAGAACAGCATTATGCCACAGAACAGGTAAGTCCTGTGATCCGAGTGATCCAATATATGCTCCTACTAATCTGATCTCTCTTGCCGTGTAGCGCTGGGCAGGATATGCGCATGAAGTTCCCGCAATCACAGATCGATCTTATGTACTCGAAATATGAGAGTATGGCCAGCAATTTGAAGTACAACAGCCAGGACCTGGACTCACCGGCCGAGTATCGCCAGAGCAGCAATAGCAATGCGGCAAGTGCTGCTGCTGCTGCTGCAGCTGCTGCCAGCGCTGCGAACGACATGTCGGATCTTCAAGGGCTGGACATGAGCTCACGGTCGAATGTGTCGAGCAACTATCATCATAACTTCCAGCTGCCGAGCAGCCGGTACCATCATCACATCTACGACATACTCTCCGATCGGGAGCAGAACCAACAAGCACAGGCGCAGCAGCAGGCGCCGGCATCGGTGGTGCATCAGCAGGAGCATGGTAGTCATGGTGGTCACAGTAGTCAGCTAGCCATGCAGCAGCATCAATCGGCGGCGATGCACAACATGCTCAGCGAACAGCTGGGCGAGCAAGAGCACGATCAAACCACATCGGTGGATCTTAGTCGCACCGCAAACTATGTGGTGTCGTCGCCGCCGCAGCTGCCCTACAACCATCCACATCACGATATGCTGCGCATGGCCTCGCTGGACCTGACACCTAATACGGCCAACATGGCGGTGGGAAACAATCGTTCGTTTCTCTCCTCACAGATGCAGCACCAGAGTCGAGAGAGCCTAGAGCATCATCGACTGCTCTCGACAGTCGAACAACATCGCATATTGGCCGCCTCGAATGCGGCTGCGGATCAGCACCGGCTTCTCGTTGATCCCACTGCCCACCTGCTAATGGAGCAAAACAATCGATTGCTGGGTACCGCAGATCAATCACGTCTCCTTGGCGAATCGGCGGCGGCAGCTGCCCAGAACCGACACATGGCTAGGAGCTTTGGAGCCTATCATCAGGTGGCGTCCAGCAACTATCACCCGGGCGTACGGCCGCCGCCGGTGTTGCCATCGGCAAATCATCATGCTTCCAATCCGTCTAACTATCATCCATTTCCCGCCTACTACTAATGGGCATCCTTGATCTATCGGTCGCCATTTGCAAAGTCCAATAAGAATGAAAACGAAACGTGCAATCGATCCGAAAAAGCAGGCACAGTTAGTTATAGTCAATCCAGCTCAGTTTATATCCACATACATATATATTGTATCGCAAACTATATATACATATTTGTTTCTAATTTAATTACATAAACGCTAAATATACGATTCTTTGAATAATTTACTGCTAAAAGACGATATGCTAGGAACTAAGTATTATATGTATATGTATATGTATATGTATATGTATATGTATATGTATATGTATATGTATATGTATATGTATATGTATATGTATATGTATATGCAGAGACCTATTAATAGTTAAACGGGACTACGTGCAATTAAAGTATTTATACACATACCTACATATATATATATATATATATACAGTAGAATCCGGCTATAACGACTCCGCTTAAAGCGTCCAACCGGTTATGTCGACGAAAATTCGATGTCTTGGTTGGTCCCCATACAAACTTATATGGAAGAGCCTCCGCTTAGTACGTCTCCGCTTTTAACGACAATCCGCTTATGCCGACGATTTTTTTCATATTTTTGAGTCAATCACCGGTTATTACGACGTGATAAAAAAAA